AAAAGAATTTTTTGAATTTGACTTTGTGGTTGTTGAGATATCTTCGTACAAAGTTTTAAAAAAGTGTTATTTTACAGAGGGGTACAGATAACAAATTTGGGAGATACGTATAATAGCCGTCTATTTAATACTCTGAATAGTTTATATGTTGCAGCTTTCTCCTCTATTACGTTTGGGAGCCTTCTCTTTGGACTTTCTTCTATTGGCTCCCTTTCTCTATTCTCTTGAGGTTCAGAGTAATCATTTAATGCACCTTTGGCTCTCTTAGAAGCAATATGCTAAGGAGCCGCCTATCGAAAGCCCTTTTTGATTTTTGAGCTTGTCGAGTCTATTCAAAATTTTTGACAGCATGTTGTGAATTGAGTTGTTGCTATTGGGGTCTGAATTGTCAATAGGTTTTGTTTTCCTTTGGGTTTTGGGTGGCTGGTTCTCTTTTTCATAATCTTTCTTTACTAATTGGCTATTGTGCTCTGCCAATTTTACTGTATTTTTAATAATTCTTTGTCCGAAAGATCTATTAACTTTGGGCTTTCCTTCTTTGTCACCTAGTAAGCTTAAATCTTCTCTTTTTCTCTTGGCTTCCGTAATGTTAGACTCTACAGATTCTTCTCTTTCTTTTCCTTTTTTTTGGTTAGTAGGTCTTGCTGTAGAGTTTTCTTTGTAGAGCCGGTTGCTTGTATAGCTTTCTCTTTCATACTCCTCTGCCCGGATTCACCATTCAAGTCTAGTATTAAAATAATACAGGCCTGCACCTTGGGCTTGTGCCATGTCTTCTCTTGATTTAAAGTATATATATGCCTTTTTGTTACAATTACTATGCCGATTTTCAAGAGTGTGGACTGTCTGTACCTTGTACTTTTTTAATTGATGTAGAAGCAAACTGTCATATGCTGTTCTTGAAACATTATAAATTATGCTTTTAAATCTGTTTTTATCTTCAAGCTCAATATGGTTAAATTTGTCTGGTGTTGTTCTGTACGTTCTGCTCTGATTTAAATAAACCGACCAACTTTCTCTCAAAGAACTCTCTCGGCTTTCTATATTGCACACTATTTTGATATATGCTGCTTTCATAGCAAAGCTATATTGCCAAGCCATAATTGTCACTGAGCCAAAAAATTCTAAATAGTTTTTGATTTCATTTCTGCTCATTTCTTTTGAGATGTCACATATTGTGAACAGATATTGTGACTTAATTATATTCTTTTTGGTGCTGAATTTCTCTTTTGGTGCCCATGCTGAGTTATAAATGTTCTCATAGCTTTTAGATCTTTTGTTATACCTCTTGGCTTCTGGCTCTTTGCTGTTAAATAACCCTTCAGCAATTTTTTCTTCAAGCCCATAGTCTATAGTGCTATACTCACTATTGACTAAGGCATTTATTTTAATCTCGAGATTGCTTTTGGCCATATGTTCATTCATTTCATACTTCAAAAAGTTCCTTTTGCATATGATACCATGGTCTTTGGCTAATACAGATTCACTGTGTTGAGGTTTTACTATTTTGGGATCTGTAACACTTGCCATTGTTGGAATTGCTTTGGAGTCTTTACTAGTATTCAAATTCTGTGAATTTTCTAGAGTAGTGTTGTATCCAAGGAGGATTTTTTCCTCAAGAGATATTTCTTGCTCTCTAATTTCTTTTTGTCGGGCCCAGTTGTATAATATAGCACATTGCATATAGTTGCTATTAGACAAGTATCTTCTGTATTTAGATACTTTGCAATATGTCTGTCCTCTTTTAATACCATTGCATGGAGCCCGCTGTATATTGCTAGTTTCTCTTCTTCTGACTTCTTAAAGAAGTTCTTGTATTTTTCTAACTCTGTCATCTCTTGTGCTCTTGCTTTACATGATTAGAAAGTGTTTAACACGTGATATCTTACTGCTAGGCTTGGTGTTCAAAAGTATGTGTTTTTACGTGTTTTACACGTGATTTTACGTGTTATATCTATGTCTTAACTTGTATATAGTTGTGTGGCTTCGCGTGATGCAGTTGTATTACACTAACGATCTGCAATACAGGGTTATTGCTATTTTCCCTAATGTTGTCAATACGATGGAAGTTTTTTGCTATAACAAGATAAAGCCTAGAGCTGCTACTTCTATACTCTAATACTGTTGTGTTTTGAAGCTTTGCTAACCCTTCTTACTCCCTGCAACTATGTGTTGCTGTTTGTGTTCAGCTAAAAATTATCTTATTTAAGTATCGATATATAGTGGTTATCCTTATAATATAGCTTTTCTCTCTTTATACTTGTTAGATTAACTACTACTATCGGCTTGTTGCAAGTTAGCTACTTCTTGCAGTCTTTTTTTGTTTACTATTGCATTTGTTATAGTGTGTATTGCTGTATTTTATTGCAATAAAGGCTCTTGTCTTTCCGCTGTTTTTGGTGTCGAATGATTATCAGGAAGAGTTCTTTGACTATTTTCAATATTTGATTCTTAAAATTTTGCTTATTAGTTAAATAATATAGTTTTTTGACAAAATCTTTATGTAGACTTTCATAAGTTTCAGTAGAAAATCTATTTAAACAACTATATTTTTTAATTAAATCAACTGTATGATAGACCCATGAGTATAATTTTGGAAACTTTAATTCAGAAGTAGAATATGTGTTAAAAAGAGCAACAAATTTTTCAGCCCAATCTTTTATTAGAGTCTAAATAAAATAAAACTATATTAATAATTGTTGATAAAATTATTCAATTAAAAATTTTTAATTATTTCGAATTAATTCGCATGGTTGTGAACGTATTTACATACCTGAAAATTATTTAAGTCAGATTTGGTGAATTCCTCATAGCGACTTAAAATATACATATTATTCCAAACTTCATAGACCTCCAATAAATCTTTTTGAATCTTTTTGTCAATATCTAGATTATCCAAAGCAAATATCATTACCTTCATGATATTGCGGTATTCACCTGTAGTCATTCTGGCAAGTAATGAAATTCCATTTTTAAAAATTTTAAGACCCAGAAACTTGGTATATTAGCTAATCTTTTATTAATTTTATCTAGAATTAAAGCACCATATTTTACTTTTAATAGATCAAATATAAATTTAATTTAGTATTTAAATAATCCCAAATCTAAATGGTGCATTCTATCAATTATAGTAGCTTTATAGATATTGAGGTTCCTAAAATTTATAAAATAAAAAGTTAATAAAGTATTATATATTGTTGTAAGAAAAGTTAATTAATTTGAAATAATCATAATTAATTCACACAGATGCGATTTATATTAAATTAGATATTTATCACAAAAATTTTGAATAAAAATATATTCTAATTTATTTTCTTAATTATACAGTGTATTGAAATAAATCACACGATAACAATTTAAATTAGATTATATATTTATCACAAAATTTTGAATAAAAAATATATTTTAATCCTTTGCGCTATCCTATGATATAGCGAATTAATTTGCATGGTTGTGATTTATATTAAATTAATTATTTATCAAAAATGAATAAAATATAAAATTTAATTTATTAAATAATTTAATATAATTCGATCTAATTCACTTTTATTAGAGTATATGTTATTAAATTAAAAGTAAATTAATAAAAAGATTTAAACTTACTTAAAGTTCCAAAAGTAATTTGGTATGGATTCTATACAAACTGAATTTTTATCAC